CTACTCACTTAGCCATTACAATGTTAAGTAAGCCGAAAGATACTAATACATAGAGATAATGTTACACCATATTCCGTTCTCACATAGTACATATACATAACTACTGTTCAAGAAATGGTAAAAAATATTCTACTGTTGCATACGCATGTTTCGCGTTTTACAGGCGGCATTGTTTCACGTTCGATAATAAAGCATCCCGGTTTCCATGGAAAACAATATTCTTAGTCGGTAACAGTGTCGGAGAAAAGTGTTCTTTGCTTACGTTTGACGGTGCTTTCGTTCGTCTTAATACGGAGTTTTTAGTACATGAGATCATTGATACTTATCATTCTACTCGTCGCGGTTACAGTTTAACTGCTAGTATTCTAAAAACGTATAAATTCAGTTGTTTGGCAACGCGGTTAGTTGTTTGCCGAAATATCATAGTGACGAGAGAACTTCCGTATGTTTACAAACGCGAATCGTTATCGTAGATTGATCTTGTCGTAATCGTGAACGTTGGAACTATCGGATATGCATCGATATCCATTGTGGTCAATTTCCATTTCTCAGTGATCGCGGGACCAAGTGTATACGCGCATTCGTTTCTCTGAGATTGTTACAGTGGGTGTAGAAAGTATTCGTACACGATTTAAAACGGAATAACTCTTTTTATAATTCTTTTTTCGTTATAGGCTCAGATAAAAGAGTTGAAAAAACGTCATTTTTTCATTCATTGACCATTCCAATAAATAGCAATTTTTGAAAATAATTTTTCAGCCATTGTCTAGAAAACTAATTGCTCTAACATAGAAAAAATTTAGACCGTTTAGACCAAATTATAAAATAGTTATTCCGTTTTAGAAGGTGTACGAATATTTTGTAGCTATACGCTGTTGCAATATCTTTGTCCGGTTACTTAAAATTGTTCTTATAAATAGAAAAGCTTATCAACTGATCTAAACGTTTACAAATAACTGTTCGACGGTAGTTACAAATCAACCCTGTATCCCTTGTGTTTCTGCACGCGAATGCTGATAATTTTGAGAAAAATTGAAACATCCATTTGGAAATACAATTCGCTCGTGATATATGATCGTAGATACGTATACAATTTTGATTTCTTAACACTTTGAGTACCGGCAATTTTCTAATTGTCCTTTTAACACGCCGAGTGTCGCACATATGATACTAATTTTGGACTGGTTTACAAAAATAAATTTTGTTCGTAATATATTCGAACGAACTGAATTTGACTAGGATGCTTAGAACGCAAAATAGTAAAAGTCGCTAATTTTAACATTCTAATTTCAGTTTTATGAATTAAACCACTTCGATTTTGTGTTAAACGTTTTTTAACGTGATCAAGTCTAAATTCGTGAGAATAAAATTGCTTGAAAAATTGGTTAAAATTGTCGATAATTTCAACTGGAATTCAACAAGTTATTTGAATGTGTATAATTTAACAATGTATTCTGATATTATAAAAATGCCACTATGAAAAGTTTTTTCGTGAATTTCATTATTAAAGAAAATCAAGCATTCTCATTGTTATAAAACAATATACGTTAGACGTGTCTAGGGCTCGGTAGTTCTAGTGTTAATTTCTACATCTTACAATCGGTACTATTTTTGGTTTGTGTAAGAATCCGCAGTCTACTAACAAGGATGCGCAGTGAACACAAGATTTCGGGTCGTGGTTTTACCATGATTGGCAAAGACGTATTAACAAATTATCTGCAGAATTAATGTGAGCTTTGAAAATAGAGAACAAATCATTGTTACTGCAATGTATTCTACTTTACTTGGTAGAATGAGTTTCAGACAAAAAACGACAGCGTTGTTTTTTTAAATAATTAAAGATTTGAATTGGCATCTAGCTCCTTCAGCAAAACATCGAGGCAAGTAAAATACATTGCAATAGGAAAATGTTTCAAATAACTACGCTAATCGTACAGTTATGATGCAAGCTTTGTTCGCATCATCGTTTGTTGAAACCGAATAACATTGACATATGTACAAGCGTTGTGTTCGTCGTAAAACATAATCGTCTTCAGTCGTTGATGACGATAACTATTCGCAGAGAAATTATGTTTGGTCTGACAAAATATATTTATTATAAACATATGACAATAGCAAAGACAAGATTTATGGGATAAATTCAGCGTTGTCAAGCTCTTGACGAAATAACAATTGACCGTGAACGTGTCTGCAGTGTGTACGCTCATCTAAACTTACGACATCGCACAGTGGTCGATTCCATTGATCTAGGTGAACAAAAATTATAGATTGTCTGAAGATAAGTAGACACTTAGAAGACAATAATACAGTTTAATGTATTGCTTCCTATACCCCACTTGCGGAGTAGATCAACGTCACATAAATGATGTCAATATCAAGATCAAACTAGCATTTTCTAGTTCTGTCTGATATATTGTAAGACTTTGAGTATTTCAAGTACAAGCAAAAACATGTGCCAAACAGGGAAACGTTTATTCAATTTTTTTTTTCAAATAAAATAACAAAGTAGATGAAATCAATTATTCACTTATTCTGATACTCATAAAGTAACGTATGAGAACAAGAATTATAACATAATTCGAAAATTTAGTTACATGTATTGTTCATGAGATTTGCTTCTTAAAGGTGTATTTAAATGAAGGCACATACTTTATCATACGTAACTAAATACATTGTTAACTGTCCACTCCTTTTTTTTTATTAAGTATGTATATTATTTTCAGTGACAACATGTAGACGTTTGATGTTTGCATCCTAATGATGCAGCTATTGATGTCTAAGTGAAAAAAAGTAAAGAAATAAATATTTGTTCTATTTCTTACGTAGAAGCTAAAACCAACTACGTGAACAATACTTTTGTGACAAAGGTACAAAGCTTTAAGTAGAAAATTGAAAGAAGGAGAAAGGCAGTGATAAAAATGTAACAAAAGTAATCTATTTTACAATTGAAAGCATTTCTTCGGATTTCTTTACAAGTAATTCAAAAATGTAACAAGTAGGTCATCTAGAAGAATTATCCATAAAAGTTTCTCTACAGGACAATCTAAAATAACGTAGATTTTTCCTGCGTTCTTTTACTAAATTTCTTTTGCTTTACATTTTTTCTTATTAAATCTCGAGATAGAACTAAAACATATTCTTTACTTAAAAACATGTTTGAATTTTGATTACCTAGATTGGTCTCACACATCGCAACCACTGTGCACGCGTCGTAGTATCAAACATTTGCAAACAAGAAATACAATCGTTTTCTTTGTTTCTCACCAAACCTAACGGATACAATTAAACCTATCTCTGACTGGTTTCTATATGCGCGATAGTAGAGAGCGAGATGCTACGAATCGAATAATCTGTACATACAGTCATAACAGCAACAATAACAATAACAACAATAATTCGATAATACTTAGGACGATTGGAAAAGAAAGAAAGAACGATTTCGATTCTGCGAATCTTTTATAACGCAGTACTACTCCTATAAAATCATGGTATGAAATCATATACACATTTTTTACAGTGACTCATAAATATTTGTAAATAAGACTACTATGTTAATTTATACAAATTATATATGCTTATTGTTCATATTAGAAGGAGGCAGAATAGATGCTACGAGAATAGAAATTTAAAAATAAAATTCAGAGCAGACTAAGAAATCTAGATAATATTTATTAATGTAATTATAATTGTCGTTCTGCATGTATAAGAATAAAACTTCGAGTCACTGTACAGATGTTTCACTTGTATAATCCATGCAGAAAAATGTGTTCATAGTAGTAGCATGCACAATTTCTTTAGATGTATACAATA